CCGTCGCGTTGGGGTTGGCAAAGGCGGCGCGGCAGACGAGGCGACCGATGCGGCCAAAGCCGTTGATACCGATGGTGACAGCCATGATGGGTGAGAAGGAGGTGCTTGGGGGAAAGCCTGCAAAATGCAAAGTGAGGTTCTCCGTTGATTTCTGCGTAAATCCAGCAAAAGCGAATGTTGGGTCACAGAATATCAAGTGTGAGAGACACGAAGTCGTCCTTTCTCGTCGGATGCGCTGTCTTTGTCGCGGTAGCTTCCGGTCGCCGTAAAGTCGCTTTGAAACGCGGCCACGTATGAAATATATCTGTGGCAGGGCAATACGAGTTTGATTCTGTGGGTCCGCGGTATCTATACGCAGCAACGACCATCCTCGTTGGCTCCTACTTGCAGCTTGTGCGCTGGTGGAGTGCAAAATGAAGGACATGGCCTTGGCAGCCTCCAGCTATTATAGTCGGTTTGTTGTTTCGCTAGATAGCAATTGGAAAGTACTCGATGTTTGGAGACGCTGTGATGAGGGCTGCCTACGAGTAAGATTGTCAGTGCTTTCTGCTGGGTCCAGAAGCATGTCGAGATGGTAGCCAATCAAGTCGCGCCTCCGGATAATCGGACACGACCAAGAATAGCTGGCGCGAACGATGGCGGCGCCGCTCTCGGTAGGCCTCGCCGGCGTAGCTGCTGGAAGGGGCTCACTCATCCGGATGCAGGTCTCGCTGAACGTCCTCGGCACGGGCTCTGACGGTACAGAAGGCTCGCTGGTCTTCAGCATCACCAAGCATGGCGTGTACAGTGATGACGCCACGGTCGTCCGACGGTAGGCACGTTGCGAAAGCGCCTCTCATGCCACGGCGGCGCTAGCTACATGTTCAACTGCGGCGAAGGCACGCAGCGCTTGTGCGGCGAGACTGGCATCAAGCTTGGCTCGCTCAACTCGATGTTCCTGACGCGTCTCGATCCCATGGTGCGCGTCGTGCACTTGCATTTTCTCACTCGTAAACGTAGAATGCCGCGGGCATCCCGGGCATGATCCTGGCGCTTGGCACGTGTGGCGCACCACGACTAGATGTCGTCGGACCCCGGGGCACCCACCGATACTTGACATCGACCGCGTCGTTTGCGAAGCGGCAGTATCCGTCGCTGCACTGCGCCGAGGTTGGCAGCAGCGATGGCCCGACGGCCCCATCCCACGTCGCGTTCAAAGAGCACACGCCGGATACGCTCTTTGTGGATGATCCGTACGTGCGCGTCTTGCCGCTCGCCGCATCGCTGGACCGTCTGCCGACTGCTAAGGGCACGTGCCGCCTCTGCCGCCACGCCCCGCCGCCACCCGCGCCCAAGCCAACCACAGCGCCAACTCCCATTGCACGTGATATGCGCGTCTCGTCTGCCGAAACCAAGTTTCTCGAGTGGCTCACGGCCTTCTACGCCGCAAAGGACCCGTCCAAGGTCCCGTACATCGCCGTGATTGCCAACAAGTACAAGGGTCGCTACGACGATCTGCGATCGATGCTCGAGGCCAAGTATGGTGTCTTTGAGCTGCCCGCATCCGAAAGCAGCAGCAGTAGCAGTGACGACGACGACGACGAAAGTACGGACAAGAACGAGGAAGATGCAAAGACGGTAGCATCCGACGTACTCTACCTCGTGCATGCGTATGACTAAGGCATCTTGTAGGACGAACAACCCGAGACGATTGAAACGTGGCTGCGTGCATTCTACTTGGTGCACAATCCGGCCATGATTCCTCGCATGGCGTCGGTCCTTCGAACGTACGAGGGCCGGGACGAGCACTTGAAGACCATGCTACAGACAAAATACGCAGCCAAAGTACACGCTGCAACAATCCATGACGACTCAGAGTGACATACCGTGGTGTATACTAGCGTCCGGCGCCCGACACGAGCCACGAATCCGAGTGCAAGAAGACCAAAACGACCGAGGCGGCACCGGATCGCGCTGTGTTTGTGCCGCCTGCGCCAACCGATGCCTCGCCGCCTGTCGACGACGTTCTTTTTTACATTCTCGAGTCGAGCACAAGCATGCTCCACCAACAACTCACGCTCCAGCGTAGGTTCAAGGGCGCGTTGCCGTCGGTCGTGTGGCTCGTCGACTTGCCGTCGGCGTCGTGGCTGCCGTTCCTTTCATACCACTTTACCGCGTGCGCCGCGCACCGCCCGTCGCTTGTCGTGCACTTTACAAAGTCCTCGATCGCCGTGCACCCGACGTACGACGAAATGAAGCTACTCCTCTTGGGATATGTTCTGATTCAACACTAGATATACGCAGTGGGTCGATGCGCACTCGGGCAGTGCGACGCGCCATCTTCTGTTCGACGGCGCCGTCCTCTCTACGTACGACGCAGGTCGTCTAGGCTTTGCCTTTACCGCCTCGGCGCAGCACCGTCTCTCGCTATTTGAGAAAGCGCCCGGCCTCTTCCCGCTGTCGCCTGCGTTTCGATCAGTCGCCAACGCCGCGGAGACGCACTTGCAGCTCCGCGTCAAAGCGCCGTCGACGCCGGCGTCGTACATCTTCACGGTCGCGCAACCTGGCATGACATACCTCCTCCGCGCCGCCAAGGCGCACCAAACCGTGGGGTTTTCGTATGCGCCAAGCTCGTGGACGCTGCCAACGAGCGCGATGGCCGTGCCGCCACCGCCGGCAGATGGTCACACAATCACATTTCTCGGTACGGGCTCGGCCGCACCGTCCAAGCTGCGCAACAGCAGCGCCATCTACCTCGAATATGCGCCGTACGCCGGCATGCTCATCGACTGCGGGGAAGGTAGTTTGCTCGCATGCGCCATATCAATGCATTACACTCGACTCTGCGGCGTAGGTACCTACGGGCAGCTGTGGCGGCAGTTTGGCACCGAAACGCGCGCCCGCATCCGGGACCTCTCGTGCATTTGGCTCTCGCACAAGCACGCCGACCACCACTGCGGGCTGGTTCGCGTTCTGTACGAGCGCAGCCTCTGCAACGCCCGTGCCCCGCTGCTCGTGATCGCCCCCGATGACATTCTGCAGTACGTGACGCAGTGGCGGCAGGCGTGGGCGGCCCCCCACAATGTGCACTTTGTGTCGATCACTGCGTTCAACCAGCACGGCCACCCATCCCGCCTCTCGTTTCTGCAACGCACGGGGTTCCGGGACCTCTATAGCGTACCCGTCCAGCACTGCTACGACGCGTACGGGCTCATTCTCGTGCTCGCAGACGGCACCAAACTCGTCTACTCGGGCGACACGCGCCCGTGCGCGCGCCTCGTCTCGCAAGGTGCGTCACGATCATGCTGATTGGGGATGCATTATGTGGCGTAGGCATGCACGCCGACGTGCTCATCCACGAAGCCACATTTGAAGATGCGATGCTGGACGATGCGGTCAAGAAGAAGCACTCGACGGTCGGCGAAGCCATCCAAGTTGGCCACGATATGCGCGCCCGCACGACGCTGCTCACACATTTTAGCCAGCGGTACCCGTCACTGCCGCCGCGAGCGTCGTCGGGTGTCGACGCCGCCGTCGGGTTTGCGTTTGATGGCATGCGGGTGTCGTTGTCGCAGCGCGGCCTCGCCGACCTTGCCGCCTTTATGCGGTCGCTCGCTCCATAAGAGAGCGACGACGAAAAGTCATCCAAGTCGGTGAAAGATACCTTTAGTGGATTTTTCTTATGGCGTGCGACACCGCTGCACAAAGACACGGCGAGGGATTAGGGGGATTTCCCCTTGTCTAATGCTACTATGCAACGAAGTGACTGCGCACCCAACGAGAATCGCATCCAACTTGAGCGATTGTCGACCACCTTGCGCCCTCCGCCCTTTCCCGCTCGTCGAGCTTTTTCTCGAAGGGCGACGATGTGGCGCGACCAAGATGATGCTGATACGGCGATGGTGTCGCGCACATAGAGTAGACTTGGTACTTAGAGATACCGTTGAGACGATGGCACCAGAAGCTGCGCCAAGCCCGTACCGCAGCGCATACCTGCGCGTCTTTGCGGACGTCGATACATACATACACGCAGCTTGTCGTCCGCGACCCGCGCGCCAAGATCGCCACCGCGTGCGTGTCTCTGCCACCCGACCTGGCGTCCCCACTTTCGACCGTATTGTCGCATGTCTACAGACCCATTTCATTGGCTATTGCAAAAGGCAAACGCCTGTGATTGGTGCATCGAACGAAGACCGGTTAGGGTTAGAAGGCCACCCAATCACACATTGGATACGAAATGATGCGGCGTCGTCAGCCATGCGCCCGCACAAATGAATCTTGGTCCTGATTGGCCATAAAAGCGTGCCACGCCTCTGCTGATTGGGCGTGACGAAGGATTTGTCAAGATCCGCGCGTGGCAATCGACCCGAAAGCTCACTTTGCATTTTGCAGGCTTTCCCCCAAGCACCTCCTCCTCACCCATCATGGCTGTCACCATCGGTATCAACGGCTTTGGCCGCATCGGTCGCCTCGTCTGCCGCGCCGCCTTTGCCAACCCCAACGCGACGGTCGTCGCCATCAACGACCCGTTCATGGACCTCGAGTACATGGCCTACCTCTTCAAGTACGACTCGACGCACGGCGGCTACAAGGGCACGGTCGTCGTCGAGGGCAACAACCTCGTCATT